TGACCTGCAGTGTGGTGAGTGGTGGGTGAACGGGTGGGTGGGTGAGTGGGCGAGTGAGTGGGTGAGTGGGTGTGTTAGTGTGACCTGCAGCGTGGTGAGTGGTGGGGTGAACGGGTGGGTGGGTAAGTGGGCGAGTGAGTGGATGAGTGAGTGTGTGTGTTAGTGTGACCTGCAGCGTGGTGATGGTGGTGGTTGAACACACTGCGTACGAGATGAAGCGGTCAGTGGCTGGTAGACCGAGTCCTCGGCTTGGGAGGATGAACCAATGAGTGAAGTTCACGGGAGCAGTCACCATGGTTGTCGTGGCAGTCGTAGCGAGAGAAGAGCGTTAAGGAGGCGACTGAGCGACGGCGAGTGGTTTGAGCAGCACGTCACGTGTCCATCTTTCCGAAATGCCACAAGCCTGAAGACACGTCTTCTCCCCCTCGTGCACAAACTCACCACGCGTTACCGTGGGGCGTTATGGGTCAGAGCAGACGTGAGCAGACCGCCCGACGGCGTTGCCTCCACGTGCATCGACAGCCGCGCTTTCGTGTGCCGACTTACAGCGGCGAGGTGATGGCGCAAAAACGCGTGCCCTAGCGCAGGCGCTTCTCCTCTCCAGCCCAGCCCCCCCCCCCCACCACCACCTCTGTGCCGATACCACAAAGCGGAGTCGATTACCAAGCTGGCGCGCGAGCAGTGGGCAACGCGCGTGAGTTGAACTTTATTGGCACCGCACACGGCCAGTCGCCACCGTCCAAAGCGGCTCGGTCTCTCCACAACTCGAGCGCCCGAGTTGCTTCGTAATTCACTTTGGCGATGATGGCGATGATGATGATGATGCTGTTGACGCCGTTTGTTTGCCCAGCAAAGATTCGCCGAATCTCAAGAGGGTCCTGCCAAGTTGTCACGGTAGGGGGAGAGAGGGGCGCGATATTGCTGCGGCTCATCCCAAATGAGATGTTCTGGCCAATTCCAGTTGTTTAGTTTGTGTAGCTATGGGGGACAATCAGCAAACACGAAGAGACCCCCCCACTGAGAGCCGGGAGGGGAGAGCAGAGGAATGTCGCGCAGAAAGGCGCCCGAGTCGGGAATCTAACCCAGGTTCCTTGCTGCGAGGTGCGAGTTATTATCATCATCACTGCTGCGTTGGCCACCCTTCCGCCCCGAATATTAATGTTTGTTTAAAGTCGGCAACGTTCTTTTGACACTTTGTACATATTGGCACAAGGTAGTGGACAATACAAAATAACAAACATCGTATAAAACAAAGTAGCTGCGATGCAAAAGGAACCCATACGATTTTAATCTCATATTTTTTTGACGACAGAAAACGTTTTAATTACATCATCGCACACTTCACAACCGCCTCAATGATCATCATCATGGGGGACACCGGATTGCAAGGGGTATTGTTCTGCCCATTGAATCACGTGCCCCACCAAAGGCAAAATAAAAACTAAAACAAAAACAGTTTTTTTTTAAAACACAACACCACACTTTAACAACGCATCGGAGGAGGGTGTTACACAGCAGCAGCACGTAGTCAAGACATATCCCCTCTCTTTAACAACAAATTTAAAAAAAAATCCGCAACCCTTTACGATATCACCAAAGTTTCAATGGCCTTGGTTCATTTGCAAATTAAGCGAGGTCGACATTCAAGTAATGTCCCGGTCACACGCTCAAGATAACTTTAAAAAAAATCATTATTTGTACACAGAAACGACCCGAGTCATCTGTAAACCATCAGAACTGTAACCACAGACCCCAAACCCCGTTATTCAAGAAGCGTGTCAATGTCACACACATCCACCCCGAGGTTCTCAGCCGTCACAATGCCCATCTTTTTTAGTATTTCATTTCAACAGTGCAATTCTATTCGAATGAATGGGCAACGGTGGACATCGTTTCACAGGCATTTTCATTCGTCTCGTGGCTTGCTTTGATTCACTCTGCGACGTTCACGTTTTTATTATTTTCTGTACCGATTTATTTAAAAACACACACACACACACAAGAGGCGGGTGCTCATTGCACACGCAGCCTTTCGTTGCCGGTATTGCTAAACGTAATTTGGTTTATTTTGTTTTCGGGTTAGTCCGTCGTGTAGGTTAACCGATGACATTCCCTGCCCGCTGACGCGCGACAAACTTGATTTGATTGGCTCTGCGTCGGTCGGGTGGTGGAGGGTTGTCGTAAAAGAAACCACGACGGGATAACTACATGGCGATCTAACCCAACGTTAAATCATGTCGAATCGAAGCCACATAGCATGACAACAAACACCCGCTTCCTTAACATCCCCATTTGCCCTAAAACGTCACGCGATAACGCTAATGAACAAAAGCATGAAAATCCACGCGGATGTCACGCGGGAATGAGAAACGGTTTGCAATATTTAATGGTCACGCGGCTGCACAATATTTTTTGCGACAGAATGAGAGCGACAGACGGCCACGAGGAGCCCACAAGTCTCCGCCTGCGCCACGGGAGGCGCCAGCGGCGTGACCCCGCGGCGTGACCCAGTGGCGTGACCCAGCGGCGTGACCCCGTGGCGTGACCCCGCGGCGTGACCCAGCGGCGTGACCCAGCGGCGTGACCCAGCGGCGTGACCCAGCGACGTGACCCCGTGGCGTGACCCAGCGGCGTGACCCCATGGCGTGACCCCATGGCGTGACCCAGCGGCGTGACCCAGCGGCGTGACCCAGCGGCGTGACCCAGCGGCGTGACCCAGCGGCGTGACCCAGTGGCGTGACCCCACGGCGTGACCCCACGGCGTGACCCCACGGTGTGACCCCACGGCGTGACCCAGCGGCGTGACCCCACGGCGTGACCCAGCGGCGTGACCCAGCGGCGTGACCCCATGGCGTGACCCCACGGCGTGACCCCACGGCGTGACCCCACGGCGTGACCCAGCGGCGTGACCCTCCGGCGTTACCCTGCAGTGGTCAATTGCGGCAGAGTAACAACAAGGGAAGGGAAGACCGACCAACGTGCGAGCGAGGTTACAATTCAAGTGTTCCATTGCATTGTGAAATTCGTTTGCATGTTGGCCACGTACGAGTCGGCACCTCGGGATGAGCACGGCACATACACAGCCCACCGCGCCAATCGGAGGTGCGGGGGAAGGACAACAAACTAAACACAAAACTCAGTTCTAAAGAAATTCGTTTTAAATTGTAGAATGTCTGCGTGTTGATGCTACTCCTGCGTTATCAAGGATTTAATTCGGGCGTGTATTTCACATGATGATCATCATCATCATCATCTACAGCCCTTTTTGTCAACCTGCTGCCAGATGCCTACCCCTACCCAGTGACGCCTGCACGTGGCCTAACACCATCCCCAATGTTGTAGTGAGCAACATACACACGCAAGACATGTTGCCATGACGAGGTGTGGCATCTTAAGGCTTTTTTTCTGGTGGGAGGGGGGGGTGGAAATTTTCCAAGTTATAACGTTGTACTTAAAACAAGACCCCAGCTAATTGATGTTAACAGCGCTTGACCAAACTCCTGGCATTGTAACCACACGCCGCTTGAAGTCGAGATAAAGGTTTCGATGTTTGCGCTGATCAATTTAAGCACGCGCACACTTATTATTATTATTTAGACGATAATAATTTACGACCCTTTATAAGCCAACTGCTGGAGGAAAGCCGGAAGGCTTTGTGTTGTTTCCTCGCTCTTCACCCTGACCCCCCTGGTCAACACGGCTTGTGGTGGCTGGGCGAGGGGATAGAAGAGAATGGGGTGTGTGGGGGTTGTCCAGCAGAACCGCTTTACAGACAGACATCGCTGGCCACTGATCGTTTTACCCGCAGGCCGGACATCGAACTCACGCGGGCCAGGTTCCCGGGGTAGCTCGTCAAGCAACGGAACCACCACCGCCGTGGACGGCGTGGGACTCGACGTGGAAGCGGAGGCGCTGTGTGGTGTCAAAGTGCTCCAGCGGTGCCGCTCGACTCGACCCAACTCAACGGCGCAGGGCACGGACGACCTTTCACAACTCATCTGTAAATCGCCCCCCCCCCCCACCGCCTCGGCTCCCCTGGCCTCGTACCAGATACCGCATGCTGCGGATTATAATCCGGAAAGTAAGACCCCCCCCTCTCCCTCCCACCGCCCGCGAACGCGTGACCGGTGTCAAATAAACTTGTACAGATCTCCAAACCCCCCCCCCCCCCTCTATTATGGATGATATTGGTCGCGAAAGCCAGTGTTAAATTGTACAGATCTAGCCACAAGACAAAAGCCTTAACAGACTGTAGGGGCAAGTGCTGTTAGCGAGTAGCACCGATAGAGGCCGGAACGGCACACGAGGGGGTGGGTGGCCAGCACCACGCCCGGCCGCCTTTGTCTCCCTAGTGGCGATGTCTACTACACACCGCACTCACTCTCACGTGCACCTACCGAATTAGAAGGCACATCGCCCCCCTCCCCCCCCCCCTAGACTTTTGCTTTCAAATATTTGGGAAAAAAGTCCGTCTTACAATCCGGAGACTAGTTCGGTACCACGATTGAATATCAACACAAACCACGCACCGCGTCACTCCTTCCCAATCCTCGTCTCGCCGCGATACTTAAAACGTAAGGCGGGCATAAACAACAACAACCACCGTCCGCCACTTAAGTTGCGGGTACGTCACCACGGCGATTGTGCCAGGCTAGGTGCACTTTGAGCCTTGTCTTTGCTCAACGTGCAAAGGGCCTAAACACCACCACCACTACCACACACAAAGACAAAGATCCACCCCCCCGTATAGCCTCAGCAGACTGTCAGGACAAGTGGTGTGAGCGAGTAGCACCTATGAAGGCCGGCACGGCGCACGAGGGGGTGGGTGGCCAACACCACGCCCGGCCGCCTTTGTCTCCCCAGTGGCGATGTTTACACACCACACCAGGTACTCATTTGAGGCTGAGTCGACCTAGGGGAGGCCCAGGACCGATCCAGATAATCGCCACTGGTATTGGCAGCGAGCAGGAATCGAACCCGGGTCGCCAGGTTCATAGCGCAGCGCGCTAACTGCTACACTACCGCTCCCCACACTCACACAAACACACACACAAACACACACACACAGATAACCATTTCGAAGGGACGTGCTGAGCAATGTCCCATCTTGCCGAGCTCGCTCAACATGTCCCCTCCGTGTGTGTGTCTCTCTCTCTCGCCGTCTCCCTGTCTCAGGCGTTCACATTGTACATGCGAGGTAGTCGTAGTAGCGCTAGTAGCGGTAGCAAGTTAGTTCGTGGTGTCCGACTCTGCCGGGCAATGTCCCCTTGAGCCACGGCGTCGCGCGGCTCGGTGTCGTGGTGGGCAAAGGAGGAGGAGAAAAAATCCGTGAGCAAAATTAATGAAAAAAATAACAACAAAAAATCATCTCGAAAAAGCAGTATTGACAGCTGTTACGCTCTCACATTGTTATTTTTGTTAAAGAGTTCCAATCAGCAGCATCGTGGGGAGACTCCCAAACCTGCCGATCCAGAGGTCACGCCACCGGCGAGAGAGAGAGACAGAGAGGGCACGCATCATAGCTCAGAAGGCACCTGCGATTAGCGCGGTTGGCGACGTACGGTGCGAAAGAAGTTCAAGGTTTCATACGCAAAAACAACCATCGCAAAGTCACCGCCTTGTCGACAAAGCTCCTCGTAAATGATTCCTGCAGCTTTCCCCTGTCACGATCTTCAACACAACCATCATCATCATCATCCTCCGCCTTGCAAATGTCACCGCCGTGCCCCTCAATCGCTACTTCAACACTATCACCGCCATCAACTACTGCTGCAGTTGTCTCCAACACCACCACCACCACGATAGTCACCATCACAATGCATTCAGTCATAACCACGGCATGCATATTCGTCACCAGCACCACCACCATCACCAGCACAACTGTCATCACGTTCATCTCCACCACCTCCAACATTATCAATCACCAACAGCATCACAACCACTCAGTCCCATCCACACCACCACCACCACTTCACGACCAATGCCACCACCACCACCACGATCTTCACCAGCGTGGGCACCAGCAGCATCAGGCCGAGCAGCAGCTCGGTCAGCTGCCAATCACGGACGGCCACCATCAGGTCGGGCCACCGAACACCCAAAACAAAGATCCCCCGTGTAGCCTTAGCAGACTGTTAGGGGCAAGTGCTGTTAGCGAGCAGCACCTATGAAGGCCGGCACGGCACACGAGGGGGGTGGGTGGCCAGCACCACGCCCGGCCGCCTTTGTCTCCCCAGTGGCGACGTTTATACCACACCGCACCGGGTACCCATTTGAGGCCGAGTCGACCTAGCCGGAGGCCCGTCACCGCTTCGGAGATAATCGTCCACCGATGACGTTCGGAGGAGGCGGTGGGTGGGTGGGTGGGTGGTGGGGGGGGTCCCCGGTTCCGCAGCGTGACCCCCCGACCGCCACGCCACCAGCGCCAGGAGGAGCCGTCAGGGCCTCGCCGAGTTGCAGCGCGCGTTCGCGACGAGGTAGAGCACGATGTCCTGGTGGCCCGCGAACGCGGCCATGTGCAAGGCGCTCCAGCCGTCGCGGTTGGCGAGCCGCGTGTCGGCCCCGAAGCGCACGAGCAGTTTCACGAGCTCGAGGTTGCCGTCGATGACGGCCTGGTGCAGGGCCGTATGGCCCTCGGGCCCGAACGAGTTCACGTTGAACTCGTCGCAGCAGCCGCCTCCTCCTCCTCCTCCGCCTCCTCCTCCTCCTCCCATCGTCAGCAGCAGCCTCTCGAGCTCCTTGGCGTTACCCGAGCGCACTGCCTGCTGGAACAAGTCCGTTTTGTTCATCATGGTGGTGGTGGTTGGTGGTGGTGGTGGTTGTGGTGGTGGTGGTGGTTGTGGACTTCTCCGCTCGCTCTCTTCGTGACCCCCGCAGGGGAGAGGTCAATGGGCGCGCGGGGTGATGAGACGCGCGGTGGTGACACGGCGGGCGAGGAGGCGGTGGTGGTGGTGGTGGTGTTACCACCCTGGCTTGGTCTTTAACAGCAAGCCTTGTTGTTGTTGTTCTTGGTGGGTGGGTGCTGGGTGGCGATCTTCAAAACACAATCTTCTCGGTCAGATCTCGTTTGCAAAACTCACCGGGAGACTCAAAGTTTCCATTCGTTCCCTACGCGATTGGCTGCTGTTTGGTGTTGCCGATACGGTTACAGCTGCTGCTGCTGCTGCAGCTGCTGTTGTTGTTGTTGGAAGTAGATGCTTGTGTCCGTGTAGTAGCAGACTCACGCCAACAACAACAACACACACAGACAGACAGAGAGCCAGATAGTTGATGTCCGTCGGGAGCGCGGTTCTCAGCAGACGTGCCGGAGCACACGAGGCACCACGAGGCAAGTCGACTGTCCCCCACGGAGTCTTCTGTCTCCGTGCAACTCGAGGTGTTTGTCGCTCACTCGCTCGCTCCTTCGTGGTAGCTGATGGTGGCCTCCTCCTCCTCGCGATCTCCCCCTTCCGAGTCTCCGCACGTCTCTGATACTCGCTCCGACTCGGCAACAGACCGCCGTCACTCGAGGCGTCAAACACCCACCAACGGCACTCACCTCGATGTCACCGGCCGGACAGCCAGCGGCAAGAGCAGCAGCAGCAGCTGGAGTGGTGGTGGCACCAACAACAGCAGAAGCAGCAGCAGCAGCAGGAGTGGTGGCACCAACAACAGCAGAAGCAGCAGCAGCAGGAGTGGTGGCACCAACAACAGCAGAAGCAGCAGCAGCAGGAGTGGTGGCACCAACAACAGCAGAAGCAGCAGCAGCAGCAGGAGTGGTGGCACCAACAACAACAGCAGAAGCAGCAGCAGGAGTGGTGGCACCAACAACAGCAGAAGCAGCAGCAGCAGGAGTCACCTCCACGCCATCCCAGCTCAATGTCTTCCCCGCTCCAGGCCCCCCTTTGCGCTTTATATGGGGCCACGCTTGCCTCATTAACATAACGACGATGGGGCTGGGGGTGGATGCCACTGGCGGTGTTCCTGGAGGAGGAGGAGGAGGCTGCGTCTTCTTCCTGGGCCCAGAGCCAATTGACATCAAAGATGGGCGAGGTGCAAGCTGCACTTCCCCATTGGCTTGGCTTGCTGCTGGGGGTGTGCTCTCATGCCTGCGTGTGTCTGTGCTGTGTGTCTGTGTTGTGTGTCTCTGTGTCTGTGTTGTGTCTGTGCTGTGTGTCTGTGTTGTGTGTCTGTGTGTCTGTGCTGTGTGTCTGTGCTGTGTGTCTGTGCTGTGTGTCTGTGTTGTGTGTCTGTGTGTCTGTGTTGTGTCTGTGCTGTGTGTCTGTGTTGTGTGTCTGTGTTGTGTGTCTCTGTGTCTGTGTTGTGTCTGTGTTGTGTGTCTGTGCTGTGTGTCTGTGTTGTGTGTCTGTGTTTGTGTTGTGTCTGTGTGTCGGTGTTGTGTGTCTCTGTGTCTGTGTTGTGTCTGTGTGTCCGTGTTGTGTGTCTGTGCTGTGTGTCTCTGTGTCTGTGTGTCTTGTGTTGTGTGTCTGTGTTGTGTGTCTCTGTGTCTGTGTTGTGTCTGTGTTGTGTGTCTGTGCTGTGTGTCTGTGTTGTGTCTCTCTGTGTCTGTGTTGTGTCTGTGTGTCTGTGTTGTGTGTCTGTGTTGTGTCTGTGTGTCGGTGTTGTGTATCTGTGTGTCTGTGTTGTGTCTGTGTGTCTGTGTTGTGTGTCTGTGTTGTGTGTCTTTGTGTCTGTGTTGTGTGTCTCTGTGTCTGTGTTTGTGTGTCTGTGTTGTGTGTCTATGTCTGTGTTGTGTCTGTGTGTCGGTGTTGTGTATCTGCGTGTCTGTGTTGTGTCTGTGTGTCTGTGTTGTGTGTCTGTGTTGTGTGTCTCTGTGTCTGTGTTGTGTGTCTCTGTGTCTGTGTTTGTGTGTCTGTGTTGTGTGTCTGTGTGTCTGTGTTTGTGTGTCTGTGCTGTGTGTCTGTGTTGTGTGTCTCTGTGTCTGTGTTGTGTCTGTGTGTCTGTGTTGTGTGTCTGTGTTGTGTGTCTCTGTGTCTGTGTTGTGTGTCTCTGTGTCTGTGTTTGTGTGTCTGTGTTGTGTGTCTGTGTGTCTGTGTTTGTGTGTATGTGTTTGTGTGTATGTGTTTGTGTGTCTGTGCTGTGTGTCTGTGTTGTGTGTCTCTGTGTCTGTGTTGTGTCTGTGTGTCTGTGTTGTGTGTCTGTGTTGTGTGTCTCTGTGTCTGTGTTGTGTGTCTCTGTGTCTGTGTTTGTGTGTCTGTGTTGTGTGTCTGTGTTTGTGTGTATGTGTTTGTGTGTATGTGTTTGTGTGTCTGTGCTGTGTGTCTGTGTTGTGTCTGTGTGTCTGTGTTGTGTGTCTGTGTGTCTGTGTTGTGTCTCTGTGTGTCTGTGTTGTGTGTCTGTCTATGTTGTGTGTCTCTGTGTCTGTGTTGTGTGTCTCTGTGTCTGTGTTGTATGTCTGTGTGTCTGTGTTGTGTCTCTGCGTTTGTGTGTCTGTGTTGTGTCTGTGTTGTGTGTCTGTATGTCTGTTTCTCTATGTCTGTGTGTCTGTGTGTCTGTGTCTGTGCTGTGTGTCTGTGCTGTGTGTTTGTGTGTCTGTGTTGTGTCTCTGTGTCTGTGTTGTGTCTCTGTGTCTGTGTTGTGTCTGTGTGTCTGTGCTGTGTGTCTGTGTTGTGTGTATGTGTTGTGTGTATGTGCTCTGTGCCTCTGTCTGCGTGTCTGTGTTTGTGTGTCTGTGTTGTGTGTCTGTATTGTGTCTCTGTGTCTGTGTTGTGTGTCTGTGTTTGTGTGTCTGTGTTGTGTGTCTGTATTGTGTCTCTGTGTTGTGTGTCTGTGCTCTGTATCTATGTTGTGTGTCTGTGTTGTGTGTACGTGCTGTGTGTCTGTGTGTCTGTGTTTGTGTCTGTGTTGTGTGTCTGTATTGTGTCTCTGTGTCTGTGTTGTGTGTCTGTGCTCTGTATCTATGTTGTGTGTCTGTGTTGTGTGTATGTGCTGTGTGTCTGTGTGTCTGTGTTTGTGTGTCTGTGTTGTGTGTCTGTGCTGTGTGTCTGTGTTGTGTGTCTCTGTGTCTGTGTTGTGTGTCTGTGCTGTGTATCTGTGTTGTGTGTCTCTGTGTCTGTATTGTGTCTGTGTTGTGTGTCTCTATGGCTGTGCTGTGTGTCTGTGTTGTGTGTCTGTGTCTGTGTTGTGTCTGTGCTGTGTGTCTGTGTTGTGTGTCTGTGTTTGTGTTGTGTCTGTGTTGTGTCTGTGTTGTGTGTCTGTGTGTCTGTTTCTCTGTGTCTGTGCTGTGTGTCTGTGTGTCTGTGCTGTGTTGTGTGTCTCTGTGTGTCTGTGTTGTGTGTCTGTGTTGTGTCTGTGCTGTGTATCTGTGCTGTGTGTCTCTGTGTCTGTGTTGTGTGTCTGTGTTGTGTCTGTGTTGTGTGTCTCTGTGTCTGTGCTGTGTGTCTGTGTTGTGTGTCTGTGTGGTAGGGGGTGGGTGGGGAGTGGTGGTGTAGCGGTCAGCGCTATGCTGCGGAACGAACTCGGCCACCCGAGTTCGATTCCCGCTCACGGCCACCACCGGTGACGATTATCTGAACCGGTCCTGGGCCTCCTCCCCTAGGTCGACTCAGCCTCAATTGAGCATCTGATGCAGTGTGTAAACATCGCCACTAGGGAGACAAAGGCGGCCGGGCGTGGTGCTGGCCACCCACCCCCTCGTGGGTCATAATGCCGACCTTCATAGGTGCTGCTCGCTAACAGCACTTGCCCCGACAGTCTGTTGAAGGCTATACGGGGGACCTTTGTCACATGTGTGTGTGTGTGTCACGCGTGTCATCAAAGAGAAAAGTGGCGGGGCCTCGACGCTCCGGGAGGAGGAAGAAATAAAATCCACCCCGGGTCTTCCCGTCCCGGTTGAAGACGCGTGGGGGTGGTTGGATTCATTGAGTGAGCGATGGTGCTGTTTGTTGCTGGCCGCTTGATACTGGCCGGGTATTACAGTGCAGTGACACCCAGAATTACGTCTGCGCCCTTTTACGTTTTGGCAAAAACTCCGTCACTTTATCATGAACACGGCCGCCGGAACAGCGTCGCGTCGACCCCACGCTCACGTTGCTGACAGCATCGTCCGCCCTTCCTCGTTGTACGTCGCCTCTCAGCCTTCACCACCGCCACCACCGTGCCCTGTGCATCGCTTCGACTTACGTCGTTTCGATGTACGTCGTCGCACCTTTCAGGGACGCCCCCCACGACGTATACCAAGGTGTTAACAAATATAAGATTGAGGGAGAGGTTCTCCGGCGTCATAAGGCGGGGGGGTGGGGGGCTCAGCACCCCCCTCACCAACTATAAACTATACAACTATAAACTAAACAATTATACACTATACAACTATAAACTATACAACTATAAACTATACAAATATACAATTATACAACTATACAATTATAAACTATACAACTATAAACTATACAACTATACAACTATAAACTATACAACTATAAACTATACAACTATAAACTATACAACTATACAATTATACAACTATACAACTATAAACTATACAATTATACAACTATACAATTATAAACTATACAACTATAAACTATACAAATATACAACTATAAACTATACAACTATACAATTATACAACTATACAATTATAAACTATACAACTATAAACTTTACACCTATAAACTATACAATTATACAACTATACAATTATAAACTGTACAACTATAAACTATACAACTATAAACTATACAACTATAAAACTGTACAATTATATACTATAAACTATACAACTATAAACTATACAACTATAAACTATACAACTATAAACTATACAACTATAAACTAAACAATTATAAACTATACAACTATAAACTATACAACTATAAATTATACAACTATAAACTATACAACTATAAACTATACAATTATCAACTATACAACTATAAACTATACAACTATGAACTATACAATTTTGAACTATACAATTATAAACTATACAATTATGAACTATACAATTATGAACTATACAACTATAAACTATACAATTATGAACTATACAATTATAAACTATACAACTATACAACTATAAACTATACAATTATGAACTATACAACTATAAACTATATAATTATGAACTATACAATTATAAACTATACAATTATAAACTATACAATTATAAACTATACAACTATAAACTATACAATTATCAACTATACAACTATAAACTATACAACTATAAACTATACAATTATGAACTATACAATTATAAACTATACAATTATGAACTATACAATTATGAACTATACAACTATAAACTATACAATTATGAACTATACAATTATAAACTATACAACTATAAACTATACAATTATAAACTATACAATTATGAACTATACAATTATAAACTATACAACTCTAAACTTTTTTTTACAGGTTAAAGTCCATTGACCTCTGTTGCTCGTTTTTCAGCAACGACCTGGCCACAAATGATTGCCCCATGAAGCGTCTGATCACGTGGTAATATACAGCAGCCAAAGACTCTAAAAGCGTGGTGGTGACGTTGATTCTAAATGTGGAAGGAAAAACCGGAGGAACTGGAGAAAAATCCACACGACAACGGGGGAGAGAGAGACGCGCAAACTCCAAATATACAGCAGCAGGCGTCAGGGTCGAGATGGAACCCACGACCTCCTGTATACCAGGCGAGGTAGTCAACATCTCCTAGCCACCGTGATGATGATGATGAGAGAGCGACAC